CCCCTGGGGTCCCTGAGCCCCAATCACCAGGCTCTGTGACTTTTCTCACCATAATTTATTGACTCCGGTGGTGCCTGGGCCAGACTGCTCTTTGTTCCCCGAGGCTCCTGCGCCGACTTTGGGGGGGGCACCCTGCAGGGAGGCGTGGTAGGCGCCCCCTTCTGGAGTTCTGTTATCAGATCTCACAAGCAGCTGGCCCCCCACTGGGCCAGGGGGCTAGGGCCCCTTCCTGGCCAATAAAGTGACTGTCTTGGCAAGAACACCGCAGCCGAGTCTCCTTCCTGGCCCCTGGCACTGCAGGCCTCGCCCAGGCTGGACACAGAGGAAGGGACGGGGCCTTCACTGCAGCGGGCCCCTCCCACCACGGCCTGGCGCACGGGTCCAGGTGGAAAGGGCAAGGGACAGAAGGCTTCCCTCCCGTCCTGGACCACAGCGCTGATGTCACCTAGAAGGTTTGGGCTAAGGCACATTGACAAGAGGGGCCAGAAGTCCACGGCTTCCATTCCAACGCCGGAGTGTCCCCACTACACATGATTCAGTGCGGCCAGCCAGCCTCTGAGGGCCCCGGCCTGCCAGCTGGCAGTGTCCTCTGCCTGCCCAGGAGGAGAGCAGACGCCCCGGGGACACACGTCAGACCCCGATACTGTACAGCCTCCCTTCTCGCTGGAAACGGCCCCGGGGAGAGGGGACCTCGAACTCCCACGCACCTGCCCCTCCTTTTCCCGGTCCTTCCTTCCGGGCACGGGCTACGTGGGCACGGGGCGCTTGTCCTGGAAGAAGCGCTTAAGCGTGCAGACCTGTAGGACGGCCACCAGCAGCAGCACGGCCACATTGACGGCCGACCAGAAGTTCACCCGCTCTAGGTTGCCCTCCTGCAGGTTCCGGTCGCGGGCCTCGAAGGCCCGCAGCAGGGTCAGCATCTGAATGCTGCGCTCCAGCCGGGTCCGCATGGTCTCGATGGACTCCTGTGGGCACAGGGAAAAGCTAGGTCAAGCCTCCGGAGACCAGTAACACCAGGGGAGGGACCAGCAGTTAGCGTAATGGCTAAGTCGCTGGACTCCCATGTAGTCGACCATGGTTCGAGTCCTGGACCCGGTGGCTTAAACTCACGCTGGGTGCATGTGCACGTGTGCCCAAGATCCCGAGAGGAGAATGGAGGAGAAGGGATTGCGGCATGGCCATCCCCCTGGGCGGTGATTTCTCGCTTTCTGTCTCTCTCTCTTTCTGGCTAGTGCATGCGACCTATAGCAAATACCTCTCAAAAAAAAAAAAAAAATCGGGAAACGGGGTGAGACTTTGGGGGTGGGGGGGGGGAGCTGAGAGCAGACTCTAGCCTTGCTACCCAAGTCTGAATCCTTTCTTGCCACTCAGGATGTGGCCGTGAGCAAATTAATTAACCCCTCAGGGCCTGGGTATCCTTTTTTTTTTTTAAGGTTTTGTCAGGTGGCATGTGTGATCACTAGAGAGACAGAGAGACAGAAAGTGAAAAATAGCTTTCAGCACTCAGAGGGAATGGCCACACCACAATCCCTCCTCCATTCTCCTGGGATTTGGGGCACGCACACACACATTCGGTGTGATTTTCAAGTCCGTCCTTCCTTCCTCCCTCCCTTCCTTCCTTCTTTCCTTCCTTCTTTCTTTCTTTTGAATTATTTTAGGGGCCAGTAGGTGGCATGGTGGTTAAGGGTGCTGGACTCCCACATGGTCAACCATGGTTCAAATCCTGGACCCGGCAGCTTGCTTTCTCACTTTCCTCTCCTCTCTCTGTGTCCCTCTCTGGTCAAATTAAAATAAATAAATTTTACTTTATTTTATTTATTTATATTTAGAAAGTGAGAAAGCACGATCTTAACAGTTGCTACTGTTATGACTGTGACTAAGTTTGGGGTACCACTGTATAGAGGAAGCTGGGTCAGGTCAACAGAGGGGTGATTCCAGCTGAAGAGGGTGGGCAGGGGTGTCCTGCTGCCCCATACCAGCGATCTGGGAGGGGGGCCTGGGCGCACCTTAATGTCCTCCATTTTGACATCCAACATCTCCTCGGGCTCCACGGCCTCCGCCCAGCCCTCAACCTCCTCATCATCTTGCAAACTGTCAAAGATGAGTTCGAAAAACACCAGCTTCTCCGAGATGGTGCTGAAGGAGTTGTCGAAGCACAGCCTGTAGTCTCCGGCCTCCGTGGGCTCCACCCTGGGCAGACAGACACGCAGACGTGACCCTGAGTGGCCAGCCGGGCAGGCAGAGCCGTAACCCGAGGCCTCCGGGGAGGGGCAGGGCTGTAACCAAACCCAGGGAGGCTGCAGGACTCAACTCACGTGTGCACCCCATCAGCCTTGCGTGAGTCGCTGACCAACAACACACCCTGAGGGCTCTCCAGCGTGAAGTCCACGTCCAACCCAGCACCTCCGATCACCTGGGGGCAGGTAAGAAAGGGTGGACAGTTAGCGGTACGCCAGGGGCACCTGCCAGAGAAGGCCATGGCTGGATCCACCAACACAGACCCGCGCAGACACCTGCACCTCTAACCCAGTCGGCCCACCTGGCTCTCGGGCCGCTCTCATTTTACCTCCGCCCTTATTGAAATGACAGCTCAGGGGTCGGTTCTTTCACCTGGTCACGCCCTGTCAAAAGCCCTTGATCGACGTCAACCTAGCCACGCCCCTTGACTTGAACCTAAAAGTGATGGAAGGCTCCTGCCTTTCCCTGCTGCCCATCCCTCTTTTTAGCCTAAATACGGGATAAGCATCCTGAACAGACCACGTCCCGAGCATTCCTGTCCTCCTATGGGCTCCCTATACTTCGCGTTAGCCCCGCCCCTGCCGAGTCACTCTAACCACGCCCTCGTGGACACGCCCACTACGTCCGCTCCCACGCCCCGTCCCCGCCCACTCCGTCTGGCCCCTCCTGGCTCCCGCCCAGCGCGCACACGCATTCGCTCCTCCCCTGTCCCTCCTCCTTGGCCACGCCCTCTCCCCCTGGCTCCGCTAGCTCCATGGCCCGGGACTCTCTACCTGGTACTCCGTCTCGAGGCTTGCATTGGCCGGCGCTGACTGATAGAAACACTGCTTCCTCCCCGCGGGCAAAAGGAACGTGAACTCGCCGTCTTGGATCAGCGGGTGGTCCCGT